AAACTTCTAGCATGTTTTTCAATGAGTTCGATGCATTCGTCGCGTCCGTGCGCTGAAAATGAAGTAAAATTTAAGACGTTTTGAGAAAATTTTCACTTTTTCAAAAAATCGACCTCCGCCCTTGGAAAAATTTCGGGTAAAAATCAAAATTTTACATGCGTTTTTTGAGCTCAATCGATTCCTTTCGACGTAAGATGGTCACAAATCTGCATTTATACAGTGTTTGGGTCAATAATAAGGAAGAAATCGTCGGTTAAAGATTGTGAACGCTCAAAAAACCCTTAAAATGTGCCGAAAATGTCTATTATTTCGGATCTGAAACTTCGAGCATGTTTTTCAATGAGTTCGATGCATTCGTCGCGTCCGTGCGCTGAAAATGATATAAAATTTAAGGCGTTTTGAGAAAACTTTAATTTTTTCAAAAAATCGACCCCCACCCTTGGAAAAATTTCCGCCAAAAATCAAAATTTTACATGCGTGTTTTTTGAGTTCAATCGATTCCTTTCGACGTAAAAAAGTCACGAATGTGCATTTATACAGTGTTTGGGTCAATAATAAGGAAGAAAGCGTCGGTTAAAGATCGTGAACGCTCAGTCAAGTCAATCTTTGCTTATGTTGAAAACATAATTTAATACGTATTAAATGGCGATTGCACGCAGAAATCAACATATTCGAAAAAACGTTCCTAACAATAACAAATGGCTTCGCCAGTCCTCCTTGACCTGGAACCCCGCCTAAAATCCAAAAACCTGCCCAACTGCAGCGTTTACTGGGCGAAATCGTCCCTTGATGCGATAAGGAAGCATTAAAGGGCTTGGCCAGCTTTGTGCGAAAATCCAATAACTTCATGTAGTTTATAATGCGGCTATCGGCCGCTCATTTAACTCGCATTCGTCAGCGTCGTACATTTAAAACCTCTTATTTACCCATACACTCGATCAACTAGCGGGAATGTTCGCAGTTGAGCTGCTGCCTCATTGGAAAAATTGCAATAAATCGAAAAACTGAAACTCGAAACGAAAATCGGCAAAAACTACTACAAGTTTCACATGGGGAAAATGTTTTTGTTTTCCGTGTTGTTGCCAAACCGCCACTGTTCGCCCAGAACCCAGATTTCCCTGTCATGATACTGCTCAATACATCAAACAAGGATATGCCGATAATGCATTAAGCAAATTAATTGGCTTTTAGTTTTCAAGGGAATATTTAGCAAATGAACACGATTTTCCTGCAATCGGCGCACCAAATTCACCCTGGGCTTTGTCTGAGTCATTTCAACTGTTCACATTCTTAGTGCGGCAATTAAGAGCCGCTGTTGCAACAGAATCGAGCAGGAAACGTTTCGCTTACAACGACAAAAGGCACAATCAAACGCAGTAATCCAAATCTGTATTTTCGCCCAAAACTACAAGGCCAACAAAAAGTGCGTCTCCGGCATTGGCCCGCCAAAGTTCAATTTGCCGGCTTGAGGATTGTGAACGCGTCGCATCACCTCTTGTACTTCATGCACGCGAATCGGCACTTGGTAGGGAAAAACCTGCATAAAAGCCACCTTAGACGAGTTATTTTTGGTCGTAACAACTACAAACTTTGGACGGAGCGCTGCCTGGACCTGCAGCTCCATGCGGCTTGAAGATTGAAGTCGTGCAAGAAGTGCCCGCAATTGTCTCAAAAGGATCGATAACTGCAAAAAATTGAAACCAATCAAAGATCGACTATTTCCCAACGCGGAAGCCTACCCGATTTTACGTCTGCCCTTACAAAGAACGCATAGTCGACGATTTCCGCGACTGTTTGAAAGGCCAAGTAGCTGAGCACATCCATGGCGTCTTTATCGAACTCGATCTCGTTTTGCGGATCCACCCAGCTCTTGAACGAGTTTGCGGACTGTATTTTTTTAAAGGACGCAATGCGGGCTTGCTGATATTCCATATACTTCTCCTTGCTGATGCTCTTCGATATCTGATCAGCACGAAGCATTCGATTCAGTTTGGTCTCGTCCACCTCAGATATATCGAGGAATTCTCCGGTTTCGTCTAGAAACCGTACAAAGTCCAGAAGCTTGTTGTTTTTTGGTCCTTCCACTACCTCCACCACTGGGGAATTCACAGCGCCGCATTTAGCCGTGATTTGTCTCGTTTTAAGGTATCTGAAATAGCCTGCCTTTCATTGACGAATGTTTGGACCGATAAAACGCATGTCCCTTACCGAACAAACCGCTGCATTTTATACTTGTTGTGCCTCAAAAGGAAGACCAGAGATTCCCCTTTAAGAACTGGCCCAGAATTGTATTTTAGAGCCTCATTTACGATGCTTCTTAGCTGGCTTTTCACGATGCTTTCCACCAATTCCACAGTGGCTGGATCTGGCTGGTCGCTGTCTCCGAAGCCATACATCATCAGGGAGATTTGATTCAGAATCTTTTTGTTGGCCATTGGAGCAAAATGCCAAGAAAAACAACCGTTCGGAAAATGTAAACAACAACAATGGAAAAACGTAACCTTAAAATGTGCCCTGACAGAACGCTAGAGCTGGGGATGGGTGTCGATGTTTGGGCCACGTTGACAACGCCATTGGGTTCCTCGATATGCTAGTTCGATGCCGCCTTCCTACTCTTGTGAAGTCGCTTTGCAGCGACAAATGTCTTGACAGAATGGAGGTTGCAACAGATCACAGAGGTTACTCTGTGATCTGTGGATGATTGGAAAACGTTTCCATTGGTTGGAGATGTACGACGACGGACGAATTTACAGATCTCCAACCAATAGAAACACTTTCGTGTCGGATAGCGGCTTTAAAACACAGATAATTGCTTTTAAAAATGTCGCATTCTCCTTTCTGTTCAGAAACATTTTTTATTGAATGATTTACGCGGAACACTTTATTATTTTCGCGTATATAAATAGATTTGCACACATCCAAAGCTAGACTTTACTACGGAAGTAGATAAAACTGGATTTTTGCAAGCAGATTGGATTTTGGCCGGCAAATTTAGCCTAAAATAGCAAATTATTTTGGTAACCCAGTGACATTGGTGGAGATTATCCGGCAAAAGCCCGCAAAATTGCCCGCATATTTTATCGCAAACTAATACAAGTCGATGGTTGATTGCAAAGAAAAGCGCAATCATGAAGCGAGCGAATGCACGCAAAATCAGCCATCAACTGATCGGAATGCATGTAACCTCTTGTTCGTAGTAAACAATGTTAATGCTTGTTGCTGATAAGCAACAAAGAGTGTGATATTTGTTGCCTTCTGTGTTTTTTTTTGCTTGAGAAACTTCGGATATTGATGCCGTTCGGTAATACGGTTATTTATCGATGAGGTGACCCGATTTTTCAAAATCAATATTTGAAGTCAACACC